ACACGTACTGGATAGTAATCATGCAACTTTAAAACCTACCTTTGTTACACGTACTGGATAGTAATCATGCAACTTAAACCTACCTTTGTTACACGTACTGGATAGTAATCATGCAACTTTAAAACCTACCTTTGTTACACGTACTGGATAGTAATCATGCAACTTTAAAAGCAATGCGAATCGAGTACTCACCTCTGATTCCAAACTTTTGCTAATGATTTCATCTTTGGCTTTTTGGTAATCGTACTTGCCGCTAGCGTCAAACTGTAAGTAAGGAGAAACAGTTTCATCATATCAGACGACATAGAAACTCTGTTTTGATATTTTATTGTATTGAAGGTAAATTTTGTGTCACAAAAACACGATAGCTTTATTATTTTAAAACTATTATGTGTTTGTTTCAGAACTATTTTTCGTCTTATTTCTTGACATTACCTTACGTTCTCATTTCACTTACCCAGCCTTCAGTTTCAAGAGCGCATGTGGTAATACTAGTTCGATGTTCATGAACTTCTTGCTGTGAAAACAAATGGGAAGGTTTGAACAGCGTCTTTGATAAAATTCAACAAACTTTAAACTTTAGTTGTTTAATATGTTACGTTTCAGAAATTGTCTATTAATTAAGGAAACGATAAATATTATGAATTACCAATATATGACTATAATATGAGTAATAAACATACTATGCAACAGATAATGAACGTTGCAAATCATTTTACAAGTAACATATTAATTCCAATATTTGGTTCATATACACTATTGAAGGAATGTATACATTCTAATAACTCTTTATTTGATTATACTTATGGTAAAGTTTCTGTAACATTTTATTAAGCGACAGATACTCCAGTTCTCCTTCCACACTTACTCTAGTAACGTTTCTGTAACATTTTATTAAGCGACAGATACTCCAGTTCTCCTTCCACACTTACTCTAATAACGTTTCTGTAACATTTTATTAAGCGACAGATACCCCAGTTATCCTTCCACACTTACTCTAGTAACGTTTCTGTAACATTTTATTAAGCGACAGATACCCCAGTTCTCCTTCCACACTTACTCTAGTAACGTTTCTGTAACATTTTATTAAGCGACAGATACTCCAATTCTCCTTCCACACTTACTCTAGTAACGTTTCTGTAACATTTTATTAAGCGACAGATACTCCAATTCTCCTTCCACACTTACTCTAGTAACGTTTCTGTAACATTTTATTAAGCGACAGATACCCCAATTCTCCTTCCACACTTACTCTAGTAACGTTTCTGTAACATTTTATTAAGCGACAGATACCCCAGTTATCCTTCCACACTTACTCTAGTAACGTTTCTTGGATCCTTGAAGTTTGGTGGATATCTCTGGACACAGTGTTGAATAACTTGTTGTTTTGTGGCCTGCAGTGGAGAAAACATACAATTCATAAAATATTTAACTTAGGATGAAAAAAAAAAAAGAAGAATGTAGTAATGAGATACCTAAACAAAAGCATAAACCTAGAACTGGTTTAAATCTATCATACTAAAACATTAAAGGTGTGATTTTGATATATTTATGTGTTTGGAGTATTTGGAACTCGGTAAATAGTTCACTTAAGCCATTTTTAGAAAGAATGGTTTTTGTTGATAAAGTTTGTTTGTTTGTTTTGGAATTTCGCGCAAAGCTACACGAGGGCTATCTG